CAGGCGCAACTCGCGACCCTCGGGCCCTTACAGGCGCAGGTGGCGACCCTTGCCGCCGGCGTGCAGCAACTCCAGGACGCTGGTCGTCCTTCCTCTCCTCATCCTCTCTCTTCTCCTGGCTCTCAGTCCGGGTCCCCAGTTCTCCGACAGGGTGGCCACGGAGGAGTTTCCTCCTCTGCCGCCCCCGACCCGGCCATTTTGGTGACCGTCCACGCCCCTAGCTCGACGGCTGCCACGAGTCAGGCCCTTCCTCAGTCTACGGGCGCACCGGCCCAAATTCCGATTACGACGGCCACGGGACCACAACCCGTTACCATGGTCTCAGCGTTTCCGGGTGCCCCGCTCCTCCCCCCCCTTCGCACGACCGCAGCGCCACTTGGCTCTCCCCCCTCTGGGATACCCCGCGCCGCTTGTGCGTCTACTTCCTCCACTCTTCCCCCTGCTACCCCTTGCACGACCTACGTTCGAGGTCTCGAGGACGAGATTGCCCAGCTCCGGGCCAACCTCGCCCTCTTACGCCTTCAACCACCCCCATCCTCACAGGTGGTCGCGCCTTCGGGCGCTCCCCCTACCTCCTCTACCCTTCCTCCCATGCAGGCTCGCTTTCCACGCCCTCCACCCTATACAACTCCTTCCTACCTTCTTCCTACTCCCGCGGTTGTTGCGACCTCTTCTACCGCAGCACCCTCGCAGCCTGCCGCTGTTGCCACCGCCGCTCCCCCATGCGGCCCGGACGCACAGTCAGCTGCGCCCCTTTCTCCAGGACCTGCGCCGACTTACTCAGCCGTGGCACAGGCCCCCACTCCTCGATCCCCTCGCCGCCACTACGGTGGCGCACCACTCATCCGCTTATCGAACATTGCCTTGTATGACGGTACAGGCATACGCGTGTCTCGGTGGCTGCAGTCGGCCACCCGCACACTCCAGCTCATGGGCACCACACCCGAGACGTGGGTGGGTCACCTCTCAACGCGCCTGCGTGGCGATCCTTTCGAGGCCTGGGAGGATTTCTATGCCTACTCCCTTCGTGAGGGTCGGACTCCAACCTTCGTGGATTTCCAGGCGTTTCTCGAGGATCGCTTCGGAGCCCGATACGACGTGACTGACGCCTTCGAGCGTGTCGTCACTACACGGTGGTCCGGCTCTGGTGGCGCTGTCGGCCTGGATCGCCACATCCAGGTCTTTCAGGACGCCCGCCTCGTTTGCGACGTGGCATTCCTCCCCGAGGCTGCCCTTATCGATCGTGTCTTGGCCAGCCTTCCGCTCGAGTACCGCTCCGAGCTACGGTAGTACGAGTTCACATCGGCCCCACGCTTACGAGGCCGCCAGGGACCACCAGCGCATGCGAGCTCGTCTTCACCCCGCCTCCTCCTCCCAGCCCCAGCGCACGGGCTACGCCGCCTCCTCTCACGGCACTTCCCAGCGCCGTTCCCCTTTCCGCGGTCGCCCCCACCGTTCCACGCAGCAGGGCCGCCACTTCTCGCGCCGCTTCAGCACGCTGGAGTATGGTGAGCAGGACGCTGTTGCCCCACTGTCATCTGAGGGCGACCATAGCGACGACCTCGATCTCTGCGAGGCCGTCCACTATCACTTGGAGGACTCTACCCTCCCTGCAGCTAAGCGCCTTCAGCTCGCGCTCTCTGCCCTCTCTCGGGCACGCAGCCGTCCCGGTCACGCTGGCGCATCGCCCCCCGAGGTCCCTCAGGAGGACCTACCTCAAGGATTCGTCCCTCCTCGTGGTGTCCTTTCCCCTGAGGAGCGCACGGCTATTCTGGGCCGGCGTGGGTGTTTGCGCTGCCGCTTGGACGGTCATACCTCCTCGCGATGCCCTTACACTACCGCCCTCGACCGCCATTACGCTCACCTTTCTCATCAGCGTCGTGCTCAGTCCCCCCCCGGCGCCTCACGTCCCCGCGGCGCCTCCTAGCCACGGTGCAGTGTACACCTGCACCCTCCTCAGTAGTGGGCTTCCCGACATCTCCGTCGCGGTTCGCCCCTCTCGCTACTGGAGTTGAGGTATCCCAGGACTCGACAGAGTGTACTCCGCCCTCTGTCGCAGTACCGTCTGCACCTCCGCAGACCACCGTCTACCCTCCTTCCCCG